CTTCCCTCCTGGGACCCAGTGGCTCCTGCAGCGCCCTGTCTACAGCCTGCGGCAGGCTCCTCGTAAGTGGCACGACACGCTGCCTGCTACACTTGCTGACCTGCAGTTCTTTCCGTCCTATGCAGACCCCTCGCTCTTTGTTCGTGCTGGCCAGACCCCGTTCTACATCCTTGTTTACGTAGATGACCTGGTCTTCGCCACGGCAGACAAGGACGCACTGGCCTCCGTGAAGGCAGAGCTGCTGAAGAGACACACTTGCACTGACCTTGGAGAACTGCGCCACTACCTTGGCTTGCAGATCTCCAGGGACAAAGCAGCGCGCACCATCACTTTGACTCAGTCACACTTGGTGCGCCAGGTCCTTCAGAGGTTCGGCCTTCAGTTCTCCTCCGCACAGCCCACTCATCTGCCTCTAGACTAGAGGCTCTCCGCTCCAGTTCCTGAGGAGTCAGCAGAGCCCAGTGGTCCTTACGCAGAGCTGGTGGGTTGCCTCGTGTACCTCATGTACCCAGATCTCGCATACCCTCTCAGCATCCTGGCTCGCTTTGTGGCCACAGGCAGACACCGACCTCAGCACTGGTATGCCGCTAAGAGGGTTTTGCGTTATCTTGCAAGTACATCGGGCATGGGGTTAGTGCTAGGAGGACGCAGGCTAGTGGTCCTTACTGGACACACAGACGCTTCTTGGGCAGACGACGCCGAGACCCTCAGGTCCTCGCAGGGCTACTGCTTCAGACTTTGTTCAGGTGCCGTCTCATGGAGAGCTACCCCCTCCTCTTCTGTTGCCCAGTCCAGCTGTGAGGCCGAGATGTACGCCGGTGCCATGGCGGCACAGGAGCTCCGCTGGCTGACCTTCTTGCTCACTTACTTAGGTGAGCGGCCTAGCTCTGCCCCGGTCCTATACGCTGACAATAGGGCCATGATCGTCCTGTGTCAGGAGCCTCGACTCGAGGGCAGAGCAAAGCACATCCAGCTGTGGTACTTCCTCCTGCATGAGTTCCAGCAGCGCCGCCAGGCGCGCGTAGTACACTTGGCCTCCGGTGCCAACACAGCTGATATCTTTACGAAGGTGCTTGCGCCTAAAGATCATCAGCGGCACTGTGTACAGCTAGGTCTCGTTCCTGTAGCCTCTCACTTGCTAGGGCCTTGACTTTGTACTATCCGTTTTATATATATTTTACCCTGACTGGCCTTGTGGCCTCTCCCAGTGGCTGGACTAGAAGTGCCACCCTGGTCTTGCTCTTGTCTTGTCTGTACTCCTTTGACTGGTCTTTAGACCCTTGTCTCAGAGGCTGGACTAGTAGTGCTGCCCTGAGCTGCTTCTTTCCCTGTTAGGCACTGCCCCCATATAGTCTAGGGGGTGTGTCAAATGTAACTTAGGTCGTTACTGTAGACTACACTGGATTGTGCCTTAGAGGGTACAACACCCTAGTCTATATACCCTTGTACTCACACATTCTAGTTCAATTATTCTTTCTGATATACCGAACCACTTGTTGAGGAAGCCAAGAGTGTCAAATTATATATTTATATATATATTTGTGTAGGCTTGGTAGTTGTGCTACAATCCTGAATCCTACTGTAGAGGGGACAACCCCCCCTTCTTGTATCTCGTTCTCTTCTAGTCCATCCCTCTTTTCTCTCGTAACTTTCTCCTAGCAACTAACCCTCACGCCATTTCCATGGCTTCTCTCCTGTCCTAGCGTCTTAACAAAGAGTGGTTGGGAAACCCTTGTAAGAGTAACGAAGTGGACTCTAGGATGGCATATTGTGAGATATATGAGTTGTGTTATGATAATCTCTGGATAGGAGTTGAGTAACGCAATAGTGAGGGCAAATTAGTTCACGCAAGTCAACGGGCAGAATTAGGGCTAGACGGGTGGAAAAAACAATTGTTTGATTGGGTGCGAAAGAGTGTAATCAGGGCCTCAGATTGTTTTGAAGGTACCCTGATTGCTCAGGGTCCCCCCCCCCATGTTTACCCTGATTTTTCAGGTCTCCAAAAAAAAATCCGATGAGTAATCAGGGTTACTGCAGAATTTCACGCTGATTTGGCGAATCATGATGATGTTGAGGCCATCAATTTTTGTGGCGACACTTTCACGAAGCTGCAGCCAATCAAATTTCGCCGATCGATCCAATCGCATAGCTGAGCAAGATTGCAGGGGCGGGAGAAGGAAATTTCGGCCTCACAAAGCCAAGCCAACACGCGCCCAATGTGTGCCTTATGAAAGGCCAATAAGTCCTCACACATGGCGCAACACACGCTTGCCCTGAATTTGGCGAAGGGCCAAAAAGTCTCCTCACAAATCTCCCCACACACGCTAGCCCTAAATTTGGCGAAGGGCCGAGAAGTTCCCTCACGAATCCCCGAACATACGCCATCTCTAAATTTGGCAAAGGGTAAAAAATTCCCCTCACAAATCCCCCAGCACACTCTAGCCCTAAGTTTGGCGAAGGGCCAAGTGCCCTCACACAACCCCCCAGCACACATCGAGCACGTGAAATATGCGGATATTATGGCAGGGCCCAGAATCACGCTGCTATAGGATTCAGGGGTAGCTGCCCGTTAGGCAAAGGCTACAGGGTCTACTATAATTGCAACGCTGAACAAACAGAGTTTACTCATAAAAAGACCCTGAAATTTCAGGGTTGTGTCTAAAAAAATTCCTAGCGCCTCAGGGTCGGTAAAAAAAAACCTTTGAAAAAACCTGAATCAGGGAAATTTGCATGAAATCTGAGGCCCTGGGTGTGATTCCGTTACTTCGCGGGGGATTTCGTCTACAAGATGGGCCCAGTTTGATTTTGGGAGTTCAAGTGGGGCAAAACGCGGATCGGACGGCCGAGACGCATGGACACATGAAGTCCCAATTTGTGAGCACAATTACAGCCGTCGATTGGAAACCTTGCGAGAACTAGGATTTACGGGAGTTGGGTTTGGCAAGACTGATCCAACGGCACAAAGTGCACGAATCGAACTGGGCCCAGTTTGTAAAATTGTTTCTACCGTCGATTTACCAGCCTCGGTTTTGCCTCTCACGGTGGCGAAGTGGTAGTCGGTTCTATTTTTTCTTGGGTAGTTCGCGAGCGCGGGCAGGCCCAGTTTGATGCCTGCGTGACTAATTGGGACCTGGGCTTTAAAGTGTATCGAGTACAAATGAAGCACAGACCTAAATACAAGCACAACTAGTTTAGCAAGAGAGCCTCGAGGAAGGCCACGAAACACGCGCAAGGTGGTTTGGGGTGCCTCGGAATTCGGAAGTGTCGGATGCGATGCCGCGTGTAGGCCTGGGGTCTCTAACGTAGTTTGAACCTGAATTGTCAGGCCAAGCCTGGACTTTCGAAAGTTGGGGCTGTACTCGATGTAAGCGAGGCCAGATAAGGAAAAGGAATTTCCCTTACACCTTCCCCCCTCCTAGACGAGACTACCCACATTTGGGGTAGCCTGATTGTGTAAATAGGCCTTCACCAATGGGTGGTTGTCGAGGGTGGCAGCTGGGACCCACATGTCGTCGTTGCACGTACTGTCAACTCATCGAACCAGAAATTCCAAAACCCGTTGACCTTGGTCTCGGCGGATTCGGTGGGAGAGGATGTGCTGTGGTTTGGTGGTTGGCTCATGGACGGGTCTGATCGAAGGGTAGAGTCTTTGTCGGTCGAGATCAGCTGTGTTTGCAACAAACTGTCACAGGAGATTGATGTGGAATGAATCGTGGATACGCCAGTCGTCCGGTAATAGTAACTTGACAGGTGACAGGTGTAACTTGGCCCACAGAATCTCGGGCGGAGTTCATGTGGTAAACTCAACCCCAAATTCTTGGTTTCAAGAAGGACTAGCGGCCCAGGAGACAAGGGTAAATCCTGTCGATGCCTGTCCGCGTACCGTTTGACCGTAAGGTTCGCTTTTGAAATGGTCTCGGTAGCGTATTTCTGTGCAGTCTGTAAGTCTTTGACGAATTGTAGCTTCCGTGGGGCAAGGCTCTCAACTCACAGTGTAGTAGCAGTCATGGGGTTTAGACCGTAATTGAGGTAGAATGGTGATTGGGCACTCGTGGATGAAGAGGTATTGTTATACGCGAACTTGATCAGAGGAAGGGAATCTTCCCATTGGGTCGGATCGGTACATGTTGTCCATATCAGCTGCTCCATGGTCTGATTTGTCCGTTTAGTCGGACTGTCGGTCTGTGGGTGGTAAGCCGTGGACAGATGGAGACGTGTACCGTATTGTTCCCACATTTTTGTCCAGAAGTTGGACGTGAATCGGGGGTCATGATTGCTTACGATTGCCTTCGGGATTCCGTGTAGGCGAACGACGGTTGAGATGAACAGCTTGGCAGTTTGCTATGTTGTGATCGTCGTTCAGCATGGCGCGAAATGAGCCATTTTCGCGAGTCGATCAATGACCACGAGTACAGCATTATTTTGGGATGCGCCGGCCGGCAGACCTGCCGCGAAGTCCATGGACACGTGTGTCCAGGGCTTGGTGGGCGGTTCTAACGGTTGCAGTAATCCAGCTAGCTTTTGGCAAGAGGATTTCATCAGTTGCCAGGTGGGACACGAGGCCACATATTGCTACATGTCGTGGCTCGCATTCGGCCAGTAATAATGACGTTAGGGCATTTTCAAGGGTTTATCAACCCCAAAATGTCCTGAGCAATGAGCGTCATGAACCTCCTGTATCAGTTATTCCTCTAATAGTCAGTAGGATGGAACCCAAATTCGGTCATTACCAACTTTTAGGTGGTAGTGGCCTCGTTGAGTGGTCAGGGCCTGGTGGCCGTTAGAGGTGAAGAGATGATCAGTATTGTAGCCGTGGGTGAACAGTCCAGTTAGCAGCGGGTTAGCTTGGGTGATTAGTACGGCGGCTGTATGGGCAGTAGGGCGGGAAAGGGCATCGGCAATATTATTTTCCCCCTTTTTGTAGGTGATATGGTAGTGGAAATTGGACTCGAGATATTTGAGCCAACGAATCCGTCGTGGATTGAGGGCCGGTTGGGCTCAGAGGAACTATAGGGACTTGTGGTCTAGCCTGTAACATCGGTATCGGATAGGTAGCAGCGCCATGTCTTGAAAGCATTGATGATCGCGAGCATTTCCATGTCTTGAACCGGGTAATTCCGTTTAGTGCCTTGGAGTTTTCGTGAGTCATAGGCAATTGGCTGCAGGCCTTCGCCAAAGTCCTCTAACAGTATCGCGCCAACGGCGATGTCGCTGGCGCCCGTAACCAGTTCGTATAGGCGGTCGGGGTCGGCGATACGAAGAACGGGTGGTGTCATAATGAAAGTTTTCAGTTGGTCAAACGTAGCTTGCTGCCTCTCCCCCCACTCATAAAAAACTCCCTTCTGCAGCAAGTCAGTTTACGGGGCTATTGACTTCGCCATTTTAGGGATAAAGCGACGCACGTAGTTGACGAACCCTAGAAAACTCTGCAACTCCTTGACGTTCGTAGGCGGTTCCCAGTTGCAAACAGTGTTGATTTTTTTCGGGTAAATAATAAACGCCTTCGGAAGTGGCCCAGGAAGTCCAGCTTCTCTTTTAAGAGCTCACACTTAGAGCCCTTGTTGATGAGTCGGTGTTGATCGCAAAGGGTAAAAACTGCGTCCAGGTCCTTCAAATGTTGGTCCCGCGAGGTGCTGTACACCAGGAGGTCATTTAGGTAGACGATAACGCACTTGTCCAGTAGCGAGCGGAATACTTCGTTCATGGTCAGTTGAAAAGTTGAGGTTGCGTTCGTCAGTTCAAACGGCATCACTGTATACTTGTAACTTCCGTAATGGGTTCGAAACACAGTCTTCGGAATATCAGCTTCGGCGAAACGAATTTGGTGGTAACCTCCTCGTAGATCAATCTTGGAAAACATCCTGGCCCCGCAAAGCTGGTCAATGAGATCGCCGGCTCGCCGAATCGGGCAACGGGACTTGATGGTTATATTGTTGAGTGCTCTATAATCGGTACACATCCGTTATCCTCTGTCCTTTTTTGGGGTGAGGAGAATCGGCGCGGCGTATGGTGACGTGGATGGACGGATAATTTTTGTCTACAACAGATAATCTAGTTGCGTACGCAGCTCCATCAGCTCCGGTTGACTCAGCCTCCATTGCGATCAGACGGTCGGTTGCGCGCCAGGTTCCAGCTCAATTTTGCAATCGTGTGGTCATTCGGGTGGTAGGCCGGGCGGCAGGTGATCAGGAAAAATCTTCTCGTATTTGCGCATGATCTTCGCTAGGTCCTCAAGTACAGCAGCACACAGCTTCTCCAGGTCGGTCTGTTCAGCCACCTCCATTGATGCGATCCATCGGACGGTAGACGTCAACGCAACATGCCATTACACGCTTGATAGTCACGTTATTCACCAGTGTCGATTGAGGGTCAGGTGGTTTCCACTTCGGCAATCGTCCCCACTCGCCAACCCACTTCAAACGAATGCCGCCATTCCTCCAATCGATGCTTGGATTGTACGTGCGAAGCCAATCGCACCCCATGAGCATATCGCAGCCGTCCAATGTTGTCGCCACCATCTTCATTGTGAAACTGATTTGGCTGTCGCAATCAATGCGAATGTGTTTCATCCGCTCCCGTATTGCAAGTGGCGTGCCGTCGACCAACCTCGCGTCAATCTTGGGCATGCACCTCGCCATTTGCAGTTGCAGTTTCTTCGCTCGTCACATCAAACAGACTATGTGATGCTCCACCATCCACAAATATATTTTATCTTGTGTTTCCAACGTGCCCTTCCACCAGCACAGGGTAGTCAACAGGTTCACTCCCCTTTAACCGGGTGTGGTCGATCGCATAGATCGGCACTACAACTCGGTGGGAATGGCGATCTTCGGGTGACGAATCCTCATCAGTCGGGGCACCGACTGCTACTAATGTTGTCCATTTCCCAACTTCCTTCCGTCGTTAGCTCTCGATTGCTGCAACTCCAAACAATCTCGCATGATGTGCCCCGGCTGGCCACATTTATAACACCTGCCAGAAAATCAGTTATCTGACGGTGCCGCCACGCCATTGATGGATGGGTAACTGTTCTGCCGTCGAAAACGACTTCTGTCCCGGAAATTCATCCTCAACCATACACTGTTCTCGTCCCATGCCTCTGCGACCTGCTCCACCTCCAGGAACGTCGCCGGGCAGTGCATGCGAATTTCGCGCTGGACCTCCGGTCTTAGCCCTAGGATGTATCCACTCGTCTTCTCCGTCTCGTGTAGATCGTCGATTTTGTCGCAGATGGCGAGGAAATATGACGTACGCTCCAGCACAGAACCCAGTTGACGCCATCCGTGCAGCTTCACACGAGCATTTTCGCATGCGGATACATGCTCGAAGAGCCGGCGAAGCAGTGCACCCTACTGTTGCCAGGTAAGGATCTCGGCCACACAAAAAAAGGATCCTGAAGAAATCGAAGCCAATCGTTGCTCCCCGTCCATTGCCAGTTGCCGGTCTGCCGGAGTCCCTCGTGATGTCACGTACTATCGCGACCAACTTAATGCAGGTCCGCGTAATAAAGGCACCGCCAACTTGACGCGTGTCTCATCGTCGTTGACGTTGGCAGCATTGAAGAACAGCCTCCCACTCAGCGTGGAGTGTTTCTCCAGGGGGTTGAACAGTGGGGGCATGGCAGGTTTTATCTTTACGACTTCACGTCGCTCGCTCGAACTGTCATCACGTGTCACTGACGTCGCCTACAATTGATGGGCGCTCGCACGATCTTCGTCCACGGTAACAGGCAACTGCTGACGCGTCGCACCACACGTCTGGTGAAGGCTCACGTTCTCCTCTTTCAACGTAGCCAGCTCAAGGGCCATGGCGTCCATCTTCGCCATCATTTCGCCAACCTTCATCGTCAGCACGGATGCGCTTGCTCGGGAGTCATATTTCTTGTACCACGGCGGGGAGGGCTATTGACCACAAATTACCCTAACTAGCTAACGCAAAAAAAGACACTACGGGCACCTGCAGCGTTAGAGATGCAGAGCGCACACGACAAAGTCGGCGGAGCTGAAGAAGTTCTTGCGCGGCCGCTGGACTGCTCTTGTCTCCTAGCGTGCGAGGTCCGATGCCAATTGTTATGATAATCTCCGGATAGGAGTCGAGTAATGCAATAGTGGGGTCGTCATTAAAGTGTGTCGAGTACAAATGAAGCACATGCCTAAATACAAGCACACCTAACCTGTCAAGAGAGCCTCGAGGAAGGCGACGAGACACATGCGAGGTGGTTTGGGGCGCCTCGGAACTCAATAGTGTCGGATGCGATACCGCGTGTAGGCTTTGGGTCTCACATGTAGTTCGAACCTGAATTGACGGGCCGAGCCTGGACTTTCGAAAGTCGGGGCTGCACTCGATGTTAGCGAGGCTCGATAAGGAAAAGGGATTTTCCTTACAAGTTGGGTGTTTAACTCTCTACAAGCATGAACCCATCTAGACTATAACTATACATGCAATCATGCCCCACGATATCAGGATTTTTACGCTTTTTATGCCTTTTTTTCCAGGGTGTTTGCTTGTACTGATCATGGACATATATACATATATATGTATATACATATTTTTAATAATCGAACCCTGTTGAATAAGCGTTTTTTCTTATGTATGAGAGTGACGTTTCAGCGTTTTGTTTTTTGTAGACACTGATGCATCAGCGCACTAACGGGGATCCACACGACATTGAAATAAACGCTCGCGAGATCACATTATCGATTTTCCCCCCTAACCCACCACCCCACCACGTCGCAACAAGTCCTCCAAACCTGGGTATTTCTCCCCCACACTCTCAGAGTAAAGAATAAGGTAGAATGTGAGATACAGCGTGGATTTGTGCTGAGGGGTTGTACTCTCCAAGAGTACGCACCTATCTAGCCTACAATTACATATACATATATGTTGGATACACCCCCTAGGCTAGATGAGGGCAATGCCTGGTAAGAGACACGCAACTCAGGGTGGCACTACTATTCTAACCTTTGAACCAAGGATTCGTAGACCAGTCAGCTGGAGAACAATATAAACAAGAGTAACCCAGGGCGGCACTACCAGTCCAATCACTAGAACAGGAGCCACAAGGCCAGTCAAAATAATATAAAAGTAGTACACAATCAAGGTCCTAGCAAGTGAGAAGCTACACGAACTAGACAAGGCTGTACACAGTGCCGCTGATGATCTTTAGGCGCAAGCGCCTTAGTAAAGATATCAGTTGTGTTGGCACCGGAGGCCAAGTGTACTATGCGGGCCTGGTGGTGCTGTTACAGCTCGCTCAAGTGGAAGTACCACAGCTAGATGTGCTTCGATCTGCCCTCCAGTCGAGGCTCTTGACACAAGAAGATCATGGCCCTGTTGTCAGCGTACAGGACCGGGGCAGAGCTAGGCTGCTCACCTAAGTCTGTGAGCAAGAAAGTCAGCCAGTGGAGCTCCTATGCTGCCATGGCACCAGTGTAGATCTTAGCCAGTGAAAGACTGTGCAACAGATGACGAACGGGTGGACCTCCACGAGATGGCGCCTCCACCAAGGCTAACCAAGTAGCTACGGGAGGACCTGAGCATCTCAGCATCATCCGCCCACGAAGCGTCTGTGTGCCCTGTAAGGACCACTGGCCTGCGTCCTCCTAACACTAGCCCCATGTCCGATGTACTTGCTAGATAACGCAAAATCCTCTTAGCGGCCGACTCATGCTGTGGTCGGTGTCTGCCTGTGGCCACAAAGCGAGCAAGGATGCTGAGAGGGTATGTGTGATCAGGGTGAGTGCAAGTCATCAGGTACAAAAGGCAACCCACCAGCCCTGCGTACGGACAACTAGCCTCTACTGACTCCTCAAGGACTGGAGCTGAGAGCCTATGATCTACTGGCTTTGTGTGGGCTGTGCAAAGGAGAACTGAAGACCGAACCTCTGAAGGACCTGGAGCACCAAGTGGGACTGTGTGAGAGTGATGGTGCGCGCTGCTCTGTTCCTGGAGATCTGCAGGCTAAGGTAGTGGCGCAGCTCTCCTAGGCTAGTGCAGGTGTGTCTTCTCAGCAACTCAGCCTTCACGGAGGCCAGCGCGTCTCTGTCTGCAGTATTGAAGACCAGGTCGTCTACATGGACTAGGATGTAGAACGGGGTCTGTTCTAAACGAACAAAGAGGGAAGGGTTTGCAGAGGACAGGAAGAGCTGCAGGTCAGCTAACGTAGCAGGCAGCGTGTCGTGCCACTCGCGGGGTGCCTGTCGCAGGCCGTAAACCGGGTGCCAGATAAGCCTGGCGGACGGCGCACGTAGACCTGGTCATGCAGACTGCCCTGGAGAAACGCTGTAGAGAAGTTGAGGGAGTGCAGCTCGTAGTAACGCTAAACTGCTACGTTTAGCAGCACCCGAAGAGTGGTCATATTCGGTGTAGGGGCGAAGGTCTGAAAGAAGTCAACACCCTCGCGCTGACTGAAGCCTCTAGCAATGTAGCGCGCCTTGAACACCGGCGGCTCTCCAGGAGGGCGCTTCACCTTGAAGAGCTACCTGCCATCGACTACGTTCACCCCAGGTGGAGGAACTGCGTCGATGTAGGTGCCGGTGGATGTCCAAGATGCCATCTCCGCGTCCATGGCAGCTATCCACTAAAAGGACCAAGGGTCCTGAGGTCGCCTGAGCGTAAGTGTGAGGGGTCGGGATGTCAAGGGCGTCTGGGTCATCCTCAGGGACTAGCTGCATGGAGCAGAGATGGGGAGCGTCCTCAGACAGGAAAGCAAGCTTGTACTGCCAGTCCTCTTGGGCGTCATTGCCAAGGGCTGCAGCACCCCCAACGGACGGAGGACGGGCAGGGTCAGAGACTTGAGCGGTGGCGTAGTCAAGGCGGCGGGTAGAGGCAAAGTCAGCGACGGCAGCGACAAGAGCAGTGAGACTAGAGACAGGAACCGACGGGTCGGTAACGAGGGAGGCAAGGACCTAAGGAACAAGAGGATTAGCGGCACGAACAAAGTCAGATAGAGGAGGTGGAGCGACAACAA